CTTATCCATCAGGATCTGATGCACACCGCCTGCATACGAGACCCACACTCTGCTGTGAAGTGTCAATAGCCTGCGGCTATCATAGTCGAAGGAGGAAATCTGGCCCACGATATGCTCACTCTTCATGTGTTCCTCCTTCACATCCTCCTGTTAGGCCTCCCAGATCTTCTCCATAAGTGGAGCACCACTGTCATACTTAGACAGATGTCTCTGATAAGGGATGTGAATGCCTTGCGGCTAAGTGCATCAGCCATTATACTGTCCTTCCCCGGATGGTAGATGATCTCATATTTGTAATCCTTCACCGCATCTAACCACCGATGTTACCTCATGTTTAGATTCGGCTGATCCATGAGGTACCTCAAGCTCTTGTGGTCTGTGTAAATGGTACAATGGACCCCATAGATGTAGTGTTGCCAAATCTTAAGGGCGAAAACAACCACCCCCAACTCCAGGTCATACGTTGGGTAGTTCGCCTCGTGAGGCTTCAGCTGCCTCGAGGTGTGTGTGTGTGTGTGTCTATATATATATATATATATATATATATATATATATATATATATATATATATATATATATATATATATATATTATATATATATTACACTTAAATCAAATTCCAACAAAAAAACCATTCTCTATTAAAATTCACCCAACAATCCATTCTCAATTTTCAACAAAGAAGCCATAAATTCGTCATAGAGTTCTTTTCGCCTAAATTATACAAGCTATAAGGAAAAGGACCAGGAAGCTACACATGATCGTATTGTGAATTATTACTTCATTATGAATCCCATATTTGATACTGAGTACTTCAAAAGAAGGTTTCAGGTGTCAAGAGAACCATTCAACCGAATAGCTGATGATATTAACAACCATGGTGATATTAATACAACTAGTGTATGACACTATTCCTAATGTGTATGGTAAGTATCAAAATATGTTTGAAAGAACTTCACATGAAATCCTAGAGTTCCTTTATAAAAATATTATTGAGATGTATGGAGATGGATATTTACGTTGGTGGCTTCCTCCGACATCCAATGTTTGTATGTTGCACATAATCCATGCATGAACTTCCAATGACACACAATGTTTGAAATCGTGGCGTCGCAATATCTATGGTTTTGACATGCAAACTTTGGTTTCTATCAGTTATCATTATTTTTTAAATCCAATATTGTATTTTGTTTTCTAGCATTTTACTTTTTTAATTAATTTAATATATTTATTTTGTTGGAGTTTTTTTATTAGTTTTTCTTTATCTTATTTATTTAATTAAAAATATTTTCTGCAAAATGAGGAAAGGGAAAAATGATCATTTGAGTATGGAAAGAAAAACTGATGTAAAGTCGGCATTACATTTGGGAAGTGAGAGAACCATATCTTGGTAAAAAAATATATGATATGATTTCACAAATAAATAAATAAATAAATAAAAATCAAATGTTCAAACCTTAAACTTTCATAAAATTATGATACCACATACTTAAAACACTGTAACAAATATTTGAATGGACTCTCAAATATACACCTACACGGTGATCAATGCTTGATTTCTGATTGTGACAATTTCATGGTACATTTTATCTAGTCAATTCTATTGTGACAAATGGATATTATAGAAAAAAAAAACATAATGGGTGGAGGTGGAGGAATGGTCTTTTTTGTCAAGAGATAACAAATAACAATCTGCACCTTATGAGTTATGACCTATGCACCCATTCCCCTTTCCTCCCTGTGGGATGTGGACTTATGCAGAGATGCTCTTCACATTCATTCCCCCACTTTTTCCAATGTTATTGCATTGATTCTCATTTGCAAAAATCAATTAATATATAGTTATATTCTTATCTTAAAAAACTGGTAGCTGATTCCAGTAGCCGATTAAATATAAATGATTATAATATGTGTAATTATGGCAATTTTTAAGAGATTATAGTAACACAGCCTTTTATTTTGTTTTTAGCAAAACACTACAATTTTTAAGTTGTACAACTATAACTATATATTGTTTATAATACATGTTAGAACCATACATGTTCGACAATATGTTTATACGTGCGAACTAACTTGTTTTTGAAGAATATATCAACTAATGAATAGCACTTTTATATAAAATAAATTAAACTATTTGTGAAAAATAAATTAAAGCTTATATGCTAAAGTAACAAATTAGAATACACTATATAAAAATATAAAAATGATTTATAAGAGTAATATAGTTCTTGTTTTGTACACTTTTACTCATTATTATTATTATTATTATTATTATTATTATTATTATTATTATTTTTTGTAAAATAAGCATTTTAAATGATTGTTTTTGTACACATTCACTTCTTATGACCGACTACTAAGGATAAGTTATCAGTTTGTAAGCATTTAGTCTTTAATATTTTTTTCGTAAAATAAGTTATTATTATTTTGGTACATATTCAATCTCTATGATGAGTTTCTTTATGTTTTGATCATGTGTCATCCTATGTTGGGCAATAAATAATAAAATATTCTAATACATGACACGTCTGTTACTTGTCCTAGTTTTGGTAATAACATTGTACTATTGATATTAGTAACTATGATAATACAATACTAACTATATTGAATACCAATACAAATTTCATTCAATAGCAATACCAACTACATTACATTAGGTGAGAAAAATACATTAGTCATAATGATTTCGTTTGTTGAAAATAGCATTCACCTTCATAATAGTTGGCTATACTATTAACAATAATAACAAAGTCATTTGGGGTTACATGTGTAACGTCCGCGTTTCTGTTAGATTAGTCATAGTCTGTAATCATTTTGATCAATTATTGTAATCTTTATATGAACGAATAAGAAATGACTATTCATATATCTATGCGTATATGTGTTTTATACGATATTTTATGCAAATTATATAAGTATTCAATAATAAAATAAATAAGATTAAAATACGCATCGAAAATAAAAGATTATTTAGGATAAATAACCTTAACCAAATTATAGTATATGTTAAAAAGATTTTGTACATATAAAGAATGTTGAAATCTGACTTAGTATGAAAAAGTTATGCTTCTTCGAAAGTTTGCAATTAAACCGGCACGACTTTGCATATCATAAAAATGAATTTTTGATGAAGTAATTTCTACCCTAAGTGATCTAAAAAAAATTCATATTAGCCGTTAAAAAAAAGATCGTGCATATAAAGAACGTCAAAATCTGACTCGTGAGAGGAAATTATGATTTTTTGAAGTTTCAGTGTAACAGTGTGAGCACCAAAATCGAAATCTTGATCGATTGTTGTTAGACTAAACAATATAAACAAGAATTGAAGATATCATAAATAGGAGTCTGTCAATATAAGGAACATCGAGAACGGCATCCGTATGTAGGAGTTATGATTTTCGCAACGATTTATAACATCCTAAGCCTATCAAAACTATAAAATTTTGATAGGGTGAAATTAGTTGTTGGGATCTAAAGGAAAGTTGTAGATTTCATCAAGAGATTTTAAGAATATAAAAACGTTAAAAACAGAGCTTGTATTAAGAAGTTACACCATTTTGAAAATCTAGGAAATTGCGTGCGCAATGACGTGGTACCACGAGAGAGCGCCAAGTGAAGATTACGAAGCCCAGCTATGTCCAAGGCACCCAAGTGAAGATATCCAGCAAAGTCTATCTCCGTGAAGGTCACAAGGGATCTTCCATCTCTTGAGTCCTAGCCGCCACATCCTCCTCAGACTTTGGGTCTACCTCCATGGCGGATACCTGGTCCCAGACAATCCTTTTACCCTGTTCCACACCAACATCGACACAAGCTTCTTTCACAAGAACCAAGCCTTGGAGGAATTGTGGACTTTCAATCAACCTATCCACAACCCGACCAAGCCTGTCGCTAAGGATCCAAGAAATATCCCTTTCCAATGCTCCCCTTGTGGCGTTCTCGATCACCATATCAACCTCTAGCTCCACCGTACCCTTGCTCAGATTAGCATTCTCCAACGCCAGGACCCCCACACGAGCGTTCAAGCCCTCCACCACTTTCACCAAATTTGTCGCTTGATCCGCCAAGCTTTCCCTCTCGAGTAACACCGCCTCCTACCTAGCCTCCAAGCTGCTCTTATCGGCTTCTAATTTCACTAATTGGGCCTTCAGTTCTTCGCATTCAATGCCCCTCTTGTCCAAGTCGAACTGGGGGTCTCCATCTCATAGATGCGTTCAACGACTGTGAATAAATAAGACGACACTTAAGCGGAATCGTAACGTAAGCGATCAGCCATATGCTCATTTGACAAGACATTTAGGGCCTCAGCAATGCCCCTCTTGTCCAAGTCGGACTGGGGGTCTCCATGTCGGAGATGCATTCAGAGACTACGACTAAATAAGATGACACTTAAGCAGCAGCGTAACGTAAGCGATTAGCCATATGCTCATTTGACAAGACATTTAGGGCCTTAGTCGTGGTAAGAGGAAATGCGTGCTGACACCAATCGAGAGCGACGTCATGATCGGAGACAGGATCCTGAGCAGGTAGCCTCCAAGATGGCTTATAAGCATCTGGATGAGAACCCATCAGTAGGGGTGGTTATGTTTTTACTAGAAGAGGTAGAGGAAAGACCATAAGGAGGTGGAGACCATTCTTTGTCCCGTCTTCTTCGATTGTGGGAACGAGGATGGTTTTCTCGGTGCTTCCTTCTCTCGTATGACAGGGCGGTTCAGTCACCCTTGTTTGTGCCCCCTCCAGGAGTTTCAGAGGACCTTCATCTGGGGCATGGTTGGAATCATTAGAACCCCCTCGATAATAGACTCAAATTTCGTTTCTTATGTAGAGGGGGTTCGGTACTAGCTGCCTCATTTCGACCACTAGAAGAGACTTCCAAGAGTGCAAAATGCCTCTTAACTCGATGAAGAATCCTCAAGGACCTGGACGGTGTAGGATCCTTCTAAGAAGCACCAGTGACGACGTCCTATAGGTCCAGATCCTCACCAACGCTGGTAATACTGTCAAGAACCAGCAGTCGCCATGATCCGTTGGACAGAAAAATAAGGTGGAAGAGCCTCCACTAGGTCAACATCACAAACCTGAAGCTCGCCGTCAAATAGACCCCGAAGAGCTTTCTCTAAAGAAATAGTATCCTCCATACCTGGTAAAAACAAAAAACAATACCAGTTTAGCCAAATCATCGCTTTAAACATAACTTGCCAATCTTTTCATATAAAATAGGAGGGGTAGCAAAAGAGATACCCTCTTTCTTAAAAAAGAATTCAAGAATCTTCCCACGACCCCTCCAAGCAGAACTCGTTCCATCGGCGGCCAAGAAACAGTCAAACCAATCTTCACTGGTGACGCTGATCTTTTCCAGGGCATGAGCCAGGACCACGAGATCGTTGTTCACACATAAAAATTTCTCTTACCAGTTCTTCTTAGATTTCTTATCATGGATAAGAGTAGGGACTCCCTGGCAGCGAGAAAGGGTTCGAGTCCCCGACTGAGTGGAGGTGTTAAAGAAGTGTTTGAGAGTAAGAATGGTAGGGAAAACAGCCTAGGGCATGGCAAAGGATTTCAAATCCGACTATCTTGTTTATAGCGATAGGGATCAACTCCCTTACTGAAAACTCGTATTCCCAGATTATCATGTTGAAGAAATCGGTAGTAGGCAAGCACATACCTACCTCAAACAAGGTGATTGGGATACTGAATTTTCCCTCAGGAGGACTGTACATAGAGGCACCAGGCAAGGGAAAATACGAAGGAAAGGTTTAAAGGGTTTTTCTGAAGAACATGTAGAAGTAAGTGAGGAAAACTCCAGGAGGAAATGGGGTTTTAATGCCATCAATGAGGCAATGAACCGTCCTCATAATGAAACCGCATAACAACGGCGATTTCGCCCTGCCAACTGCACAAGCTGTCAATAGCAGTTCGCCACATATCTATGAGTAGACCAGAACAATTCTGCTACATGACGAACGCAGAAGGCTACTGGTCTAAGGGACTTGTTAACATTACCTAACAGCCACGTTAAATGTAACAAAGACGTTACTCCTTTGGCTGAGTCTCATTCTTGGCCTCAGAGAGCCAAAGCCGGAGCGACAACTTATCTCTCTTCACAAGGGAAGAACATCCCATCTGATCTCCTCATTTACTCACAACCAATAAGAAAGCAACAAAAATAGCCCATATGACGCCCAGAACTGACGTCACCTTGCGATTAGTTAGCGTGAATAGCTCTCCAAGTAAGAGGAAGCCACGTTTCACACTCACAAGGCACAATCCCCACGATCCGTTAGTAACAAGTATAAAAGGATCTCTTCTGTCTCAAGGGAGAGATCCATCTTCTTTCTCACAAAGATTACCCTAATATCTCTCTCTCAACCTAAACTAACATGATCGTCAGAGCGACGTCCCATTAGAAGACCCGGTCGTCCTTTTACGGTCCTTTTTTGATTGTGTTCTCAGGAAAGCACCCAATTCAAATCCATCCTTCAACATCCATAACATCTATGAACATGTCACAACAGTCATGTAACAATGTTAAATTCGACAATGAGTTAGTTATATTGACAAACAAAACAAACCAATTACTCACAAAAGGGATATTATTTGTAAAATAAGTGACCGAAAAAACATCAGCAAAGAATGTTTTTTAAGTATAATAAGTTATAGATATTGTAAATATGATCTCATCTAAGGAAATTCATCCATGCACAAATGAAGGATTTTTTTTGACGATTTTCAAAATATTGTATACTCTAGTTTGTCTTATCTTAATCGTTCTTTAACTACAAATATATTAGTTAATCTTCAGGGTGGGTGTTAGCATTCTTTTTCAACATTAAGGAGCTTGTTTGTCATTTTTATTTGTGAATAATAAAATTTGTATGTTTGTCTTCTCATATCCTTGTTTTTATATACAATGGGAGACTGGCTCGCTGAGATGTGAAATTCTACACATGAGGTTTAGGGTCCAAATTCCGAAAAATCCAAAATATCACTAGTGTTCCATGATTAACCTCCTATAAAAGTATTGGTTGATGTAAGTTGTTCAGATGATGTATTTTACCATTTCATTTAAGTAGTTGTTAGAGGGGGTAAAATTAGCAATTGGTATCTTCATGGAAACAACACAATTGTATGTTCTTGTAAGGAAACACAATCTAAAGAAGTTTACAATGCATGACTAACAATTCGAAAGATGCCAAGAATCATGATATCATATTACATTATTAGAAATACTAATTGAATTATAATCTCCAAACACTTAACCAAACATAAGTAGGCTCCTAGCGACTCTTTAATGATGATAAAGTATGACACTATAGGAGGACGATTGAATGCTACGTCAATAATGAGCAAAACAACAATACTAGTGAGGGAAAATTGCAACTCATGAATCATTATCAAGCCTTATTATGTGGCATCATAACCTTGTCATAAATATTCTTTATGAAGAAGTATAATGTATTCGGTAAAATTTATCGTTGTTTTATGTGAGATCACACATGCCTAAAAGTTTGCTTTTATATTTTCATTATCATTACAGTCAATTGAATAAAAAAATGATATATTATTTTATACTCTTATTTATTTAAAAATAAAATTATTTTTGTTAATAACTTTTTTTAAAAACATTATAGAAATAGACTGTGTAACAAAGGAAAGAGTTATATGATTCACTTTAAAAGTAACTAGGTGAGTTACGCGAGGCCAGATGTGTGTTTTTTTTGGTCTAAGTCATTAAAGACATATAGTGGCATTCAAAAGAAGAGTTAAAAAGAAAAGAAAAGTTTAAAAGATGAAATTTTTTTATGCTTTTTGGTAATAGAGGTTTTGTCAAGCTGTATGAAGTGCATCTGGCGTATTTTGTAAGCTGCTACAAATCTCAAGTCGGAATTAATTGGAATAAGAGATAAAAAAAAAATAGCACTTATAATTATAACCTTAATAGAGTCAACGTTCCGTCTCCCAATTACAATCACAAATCCATTTAATATCTTGAAACCAAGTTTCCTAGAATTTACAACATGATTGTCAATGTGTTGAATAAAATTAAAAGGAAAAGCAACTTTCCCTTTAATTTGTGTTTTTGTTTTCAAAGTACAGTGTTAAAAATGGAAGGGTCACTAAATGGCAATGTAAAAAACAGAAAAATAGGTACAACTTCAAAGAACACTGCTAGTTAAATAATGAAAAATCATGGATGTAACCCATTTTGCTTGAAACTCTGAAAACTCTTCTTCTCCAATCTAACCAATCACATATATATACAACACATCATTTACATAACATTACTATTTAGAAATGATATTGTTTAAAAAAAAGAAAAAAAATCGAATCTTCAAAAACAACACCACCACCACAGAAAGATGGATCGTGAAAGATCTAGTCTTGTTTTTTCCAACTTGATGCTACCTCTGAGTGCTATTTTAAGTGTTATTTTTAAAAGATAGAATAAGATTCCATAGATTAAAAGATAAAATAAGATTAAAATAAACATTAAGTCATTTTGTATGGATTAAGAGAAAAAGAAACAACCATTGTTTCAGATCGGGATGTCAGGTTTACTTCACGATTTTGGTAGAAGTTCCACAAGGAACTGGGTACGAGGCTGCATTTCAGTACGGCGTTCCATCCGCAGACGGATGGGCAGAGTGAGCGGACCATCCAGACCCTCGAGGATATGTTGAGGGCATGTGTCATTGATTTCGGTGGGATTTGGGATTCCCACCTACCGCTTGTGGAGTTCGCCTACAACAACAACTATCAATCCAGTATTGGTGTCCCGCCTTTCGAGCTGTTGTATGGGCAGAAGTGTAGGACCCCAGTTTGTTGGGGCGAGGTTGGGCACATGGTGATGGGTCGGACAGAGGTAGTTCTGCAAACTACCGAGATGATACAACAAATTAGACAACGATTGCAGACCATTCAGAGCTGGCAGAAAAGTTACACGGACCGGCGCTGATCTGAGTTGGAATTTCAGGAGGGTGACATGGTCCTCCTGAAGGTCTCACCCTGGAAGGTTGTGATCCATTTCAGGAAGAGGGGAAAGCTGGTTCCCCGCTATATTGGGTCGTTCAAGATTGTTTCCAGGGTGGGCAAGGTGGCTTATAGGTTAGAGCTCCCGGAAGATCTTAGTCAGATCCACAACACATTCCATGTTTCGCAATTACGAAAGTGCGTTATGGACCAGGAGGCAGTGGTTTTATTGGATGAAATTTAGGTCGATGAGCGCTTGAACTATGTGGAAAGGCTTGTGGCGATTTTGGAAGGGAAGGGGTCCGAGTGGACGTAGGAGCCGGAAGCGGAGATGCGCAAGCATTACCTGGCATTGTTTATCCCAGCGGACTTCGAGGGTGAAGTCTAGTTCAATTGGGGGAGATTTGTAACGCCCCGACCCTCAGGTAGTACTTTAAATAAAATATTTTATGTTTTTGGCCCTACTCGATGAGTTGGTTGCCCTACTCGTCGAGTAGCAACGAGTTGGATTGCAAATTAAGTGATCTACTCGGCGAGTCCTTTATGGGACTCGACGAGTAGGAGCTGGAAAGTGAAACCCTAACTCCCCGGGTTTGCACCCCTATTTAAAGAAGCTCAAGCCTCTTTCAGTTCCTTTGCCACCCCCTTCTTCATCTCTAACTCGTGTATGTGTGTGTGTGCCCTTGTGTGTTGAAGCTTTGAGAGAAGATTTTGGTGTAGGAGCTTGGGGAAACAAGTGATTGAGGCAAGGAGCTGGGAGGAGATCCGAATTCTACTCCTGTGGACATCTCTTGGGAAGGTATTTAACCATTACCCTCAGTTATTTCAGTTTAGACCTCATCTTTGAATGAGTTTTAGGGTTTTGTAGGGGTATCAAGTTAGTATGGCAATCCATGGGATAGATCTGAAGTTGTAACTTCAGATCTTGACCCTCTTTGAATTATACAAGCATAAAGTTCCAGCTTTAGTCGAGATTAAGTTTCCCTTGGTCCATGAACACCCATTAAAAGTTTGGTTTTGACATTAAGAGCTTGTAAAGCAATGCATGCACGTAAAGTTTGCAACTTTACGTGATAAGCAGGCGTAAGGAAGTTGGATCTGCAATTTGGGGCCTTGCCATGGCTTAAAGACGTCTGCATGTTAAAATGACTTAAGGGACTCGGCGAGTCGTATGAAGATGTGCATTAAACTTGCTGATTTGGATGAACAACTCGGCGAGTCGGATGAAGGAAGCCGTGAACTTGGCGAGTTGTTTGAATAACTCGGTGAGTTAGATGAAGATGGCCATGAAACTCGACAAGTTGAAGAGCAACTCGGCAGTCGTATGAGTTTTAGCCAAGGATATGTTGTGTCTATACCCATCGATTTGCAAGAAGGAAACTCGACGGGTGGCCTTAAGGTTTGATCGGGATTCGAAGGAACTCGACGAGTCACCCCGATGACTCGGCGAGTTGGAATGTGCTTCAAGGACTCAGCGAGTTGAGGTCAACATGGATTGCTGACCTTGACCGATGACTTTGACCTTGATCAGGATTTGACTAATGGGTTATGGAGTGTCATATAGGGCTAAGGACTTATGAGTATATTGTGATATGGTTATAGGTGGTGGAGCCTGTGACAAGTGATCCGATAGTTGGAGCTTACTTTCGAGTCGACATCTGCAAGGTGAGTTATCCTCACTATATCGATAGGGTCTACGACACCAAGTCCGACCCTTTAGTTGTTATTGTTATGGTATGCTACATGTGTT